AACTAGGCGATCGGCCGTTCTTTTTTATGGGTGGTCGCCCACCCCTCAAAACCATCAGCAGGGGCCAAAATCTTGGTCTAGGCGAGCACCAAGGCCATTCGCGAACATAATTTTTTCCATTTTCAGTTGTTCACTTCTATAAGGAAACCTCTTCTTGGTCTTTTATGTGGACGACTTTTGGAGACTTTTGGGAAATTTTTTAGAGTATAAATAAAACTTATTAACTTTAAATTAGGATTGAACAACTGATTACTTGGAGAGGTGAAGAACAAAGGCAATTTCAAATAAAAAACTCCGGGTGATGAACTATTTTGCTTTCTTTTGTTTTTTCTATTAGCATGTTAGGCTAAATGATTGTTGTGCTAGGATCACAATGAAACTTATATTATGAAAATTTAATTTTTGATTTTATTTCATTTTGATATTGAAAGCACTTTTTTAATTTTGAATGATTGATATGGGATTATTTTTCTCTACAGTTATATGTGCAATGGTTGTATGAGTATTGTAGTTTGTTTTACCTTTGAAAGATTGAAAATAAGTTAAACATAGTTTCAATTGTCGTAGAGTCTAATATGGAATATAAATATACCGTTATACTATGTTATTTTTAAATATTCATAAATCCTTAATGCATTCTTGTATGTTCGCATCTATCATAGAAATATAGTCAGGTCACATGTAAGGATATGTTTAATTCTACTTAAGAGAGGTTAAATAAATTAGGAATATTGATATTAATAATTGAATCGTGATGTCAAATTCAAATATTTGGGGTTAAAAGGGATTGATATAAGAGGATTCGGAGTCCTAATACTCTTTTCATCATCATATTCTCATCACAATTGCATTAATCACAACTTACATTAATTTTAGTTAATTTAAGTTTTGCATTCATAAATATATATATTAGTTAGTGACAATTTAGTTTTAGAAAAATCATCAATTTTCATGAAATCGATTAAGGCTAAATTAATTCGAATTTAAACTGGTACAATTTATATAGGTACGATACTTGGAATCAAAAATTCATTTGACTACTTGTTAACGAACCGTACAGTTGTGTTATTATAAACGAACAATATTTTCGTAACAATTGCATAGTTGGTAGGATACACAAGTTAGCATGGGTGAAACAGAGATATGAGATAGTAAAGGTTCTGCAAAGTATTTAGGAGCAAATATTTTTGGACTTGTACTAATAATCAGTAACTGAATGAATTTATTCAATTGCCTTAGGGATCGATGACAATATCACAAACATATTAGAAAATTTGAAGAGCCATCGTATTTAGCGAGTCTCACCTGGTCGACACAAATGAAATAAAAGTTGATTGTTTCTTACAATGGTTAAGACTAGAACTAAACAAATGTCAGAAATTATAAGCATGACTTTCTTTGAAAATACGGATAAAGCTTTACTAGTCGAGTAGGTCGTAAGAGCTCATGAAGCTAGAAATCAAAACTAGAATCCAAATCAAAAAAGATATTGAACTAACAAAAATTGAAGTCAAAATAAGATAAAATGGACGTGAAAACTACTAGGAGAAAGTTTAATCAAAATGGAGAACGGATGCCAAGGTAGGAAATACAAATTCCATTGCTTGTACTAAATGTGGTAAATAACGGATGCCAAGGTAGGAAATACGAGTTAAGATCTGCAGTCCAAAATTGACTATCCAACTTGTTGTCGACCAATGATTCATTAATATATCATTTTACACCTATTTTTAAGCACAAGTGACAGCGAGAATAAAGTCAAAATTTACTGTTCACTTGATGATTTATTGACATATCACTTTAATAATGATCGTCAAACGGGGGGTAAGTTGAGATTGTCCGATCAAAACTAATCAAGGTTAAGGCACAACAGGAGTTTTTGCCATGGTTTGGCCGGAAGCTAAAGGAGATAATCATGTGGTTGCACATACAATCTACATCGTCTAAACCTTCATATGCCGTATTTGACTTCGGTGCCGTGAGGTCATTTATCTCGAATTTTTTGTAGTGCGAATTCTTGAGTTAACTCCTGAATTATTAACTTCCGAGATGAAAGTAATTTTTCTATCTAGTCCGAGCTTTTGAGTTAGACATTCATCCCCGAAATACCGATAAAAATCAAAGAAAATCTGTACCCTACGAATTTGATCTTATTTGACTTGAGAGATTTTGCCATTTAAGTCACCTATACCATTGTAAAGGCTCATTAGCTCCTGCTAGATCTTTTGTTTTTATTTTTATTTTTTTAGGCTTATATTAATAAAATAAAAAGTTTATGTAAAAAGAAAAGGAAAGCACTTTTTGACTATGGCCAAAGTACGAGTAATTTATTAATCCTATTAGAACACTGAGATTAATCGATCCGAGAGTATACCCAATATTCTACGACTTACCTACCTAAGTCAAATGATTTCATGTTATAGCATTTAATTATGCACCGTAACCCAAGGCTTTTGAGATTTACATTCACTTAATAATTTTATTACTTTAAATAATGTTACATGTAAAAAGAGGAATCATCCCTGTACGATGTTATAGTTGATATGAAATGAATTGATTTGAGTATATCCAATATATTTTTTAAACACAAAATGCTCTCTATTTTAAAGAATCAATCCTTAAAATTATACTATGAGTGTGTTTGGTAGAGATTAAAATCGGATTAAAATTGAAAAATTAACCATTATTGTTGACTTTTATTAGACGAGTGAGACCCAATAACGACTATATTTTCAATTTTAATTAAATTTTTAATGTTACCAAACAAGCTCTATAAGAAATTCTTTAAATTAACATTTTAAAATAGAGAATGAGTTTAATGCTCCAAATTTAAAGAGTTTGAACACGCTCTCTATTATTAAATGCATTCAAAATATTTCAATTTTCAATATAGAAAAATAATATAATAATTTGGAGGAAAACTTGTGAAAATTAAAGATAGCAAATTAAGTGTTAAATAAAAAGAGCCTATTGGAATACTTAAACATTTTCTCTCTCTATAGGCGTTCTCTAAATTATAAAATATACTTTTTAAATGCTTGTAAAATTCACTTTATTGGAGATGTTTTTAGATCTTGATATAAATGCTTGGATATAAAATCACTTTATTGACGCTTTTATTTTTCAAGATCTTCATTTATTAATTTATTCTTCCTTATCCAAACGTGCAATGCTATTTAGCCCTTATCTGACAATTATTATTTGAAAAAAAAAATTCTACGAACTTACTTTCAATTACATTTTCATAGAATAAAAAATTAAACTTTTCATTATTTTTTAACTACATATTCTCCTAAAAATCACCATTTAACATATTATTTTGACCAAATAATGACCATCAAACAAGGCTTAATGCACATTTTTCTTTCTAGTGGACAGTCGATGTGCTTGTTTATAGTGGGGCAAAACCCGCAACAAGTAAATGAAGAATTGAAGCCATGATTTCAAACATTTCATTTTATCGTAGACTTTATCCAAACATTTGGCTTGTGCCACACGCAGTCCAAACCTTTGAAATAGTTGCACCAGAATGATGTATGAATGGTTTTCATCCATTTGACTTAGTTGACTAGAGTAGTGGATTTTGACGAACTTTTAAAAGGATATAATGGTAAATTTATATTTTAACAAAAAATAAAATTATAATAAAAAAATAAAAAACCAAAAGTTATCCACCCCAACCGAAAACCAAACCCAAAACAAACAGCGACTCCACCACCAATTCGATCATAGCCACCGCCATCGACCCTACGTCAGCACCATCACCACCTTTGTGGCATCTTCCCATTCCCATCCAACTCACCTACCCTTAGAGGTGTCAAGACGGACGGGCCGACCATGACCCGTGAAAACCGGCCCGTGAACACCGGGCCCGCGGGCCGCCCCGTGACCCGTGCGGGCGGTTCACGGGCCAAGGAGGTGTAACCCGCGG